AAACGAGTTGCCGCCCAAAACCGGTTCCCACCACCAAAAAGGATAAAGCAGTTAAACAAGTGGAGCAGTTAAACAAGTGGGGCAAGTTGATTACAACTTGGCAAGACACCTGCACCTTTCATGTCGGTAACCTCTAAGATGCTGCCACGAGTTTTGAATATATTAAATTTTAAAGACCCTCCCATTTATAAATAGGGGGCTTAGAAGCTCTAATGACAAGTAATTCTCACTACAACATCCAATACCACACTAAAAAACTAGTTTCTTCATCACTATGTTTTCCTGTCTTCACGCCTTCATTCGCGATACCCCGAGGATGACCTACAGCACTAGTGGCTATGGTCCACCCATCTTGCACCTCTCTTATGCGGATGACATCATTACCGTCACTCGTGCGGATGATGATGGATTGGTCGAGCTTATGCACCTTCTAGAGCACTATGGCTCGACCACCGATCAGCTTGTCAGTGTGCAGAAGAGCACTTTCATCCTCTCTCCTCCCATTACAAACCGGTGGGCGCAGCGGGTCCATGTGCGTATTGGTTTCGCGCGTGGCGACCTCTCCATGACCTACCTTGGTGGCCCCTCTGTATAAGGGTCACCTCACAAGAGCGCTCTTGGGATGAGTGGTGGTTTGGTGATGGGCCCTGTCCAGCACTAGGCAAGTCACTCACTCCTCTTCCCTGTGAGTGAAAGACATGTGGACCGATGGGACGCGGGATATGGATAGGCTAGAGAGGGAGTTGGGTACTATAGTAGGTTTTAGTGACCAGTTTTTAGAACAGATCCAACAGGTTCCCATATCGGAGAACGATTTGGACGGTATGAGGTGGAGACTTACATCTTCGGGTGTATTTTCTACGACCTCGGCTTGGGGGGATCTACGGCTGGGTGACCAACCTAACCCCCTCTTAGGATCCATTTGGACCGACCTGCTTACCTCGACCATCTCAGTTTTCCTTTGGCACCTTCTTCTGCGCCAGATTTCGATCGACTCTGTGGTGCAGGCGAGGGGGGTTTCCTTCCCCTCACGGTGTTATTGTTGTGCCGAGACTGGTGATTTCTAGATTGAGACTTTTTTCCATTTGTTTTAGAGAGCGAGGTTGCGAGGAGAGTGTGGCAGCATTTTACCACTTATACTCATATACCCCTACCCACTACTGACAATTTCTTTGTGCTCCTGAGTAATTTCTCACAGCACACACACTTTAAACACGTGGGCTTCCTTATTCCTTGTCTGATCTTGTGGTTCATCTGGACAAAGATGAATAGTGTGAAACATAAGGATATAACTTTTTGGTGTACTCACATTTTTTTGCAGGTTGATCGACATCTTTTCATCCTCACACCTGTCCAGCATCCACGACACAAAGTTGTTGTTTGGCTAAGACCCGACTCCCCTTGGGTTAACTGAACACCGACAGATCTTTTAACCGACTCACCGGAGTTGCTGGAGACGGGGGCCTGATTAGGGATCACAACGAAGCTCTCATTACTGCCTTCACGCTCCTCTTCAGGCCTTCTCGAGCTACGACGCGGAGGTTCAGGCGCTCCAGATCGGTCTTTAGATTGCAACCTCTATCTTTACTCACATTTGGATTGAGCTGGATGCTGCCGCTACCATCATCCTCTTGACCTCGGGCCACCAGGGCTCGTGACAGATTCAGAACCCGCTCATGCGCATCAGATCCACACTTCAATCGATCCGCTGTTGGATCTCGCATATCTTCCACGAGGGGAACTGACCCGCTGACTACCTAGCCAACCTAGGTGCCTCCACTCCCCAACGATTCATCTTCGACCCGGATGACGTTCCTCTCTGCCTTCGTACTCTTGTACGGATGGATCAGGATTGCTACCCATCATTCAGATTCTAGTAGTTGTTCTGCTTTTTGTGTTTTGGCCCACTTTGTGGTGTTGACTGCTCGCCTAGGCACCTGTCAGCCGAGACCCAGATTTTTTCGTTTTGGTTGTTTCTTTTCCCTATGTTTTTCGGTTTTGGTTTTTGTTTTTTGTTTNAAATTCTAGCTCTCCAAAAGTTTCCTTCCAGTTTTCGATTTCCCCCTGTCTATGAAAGACCCCTGTACAAAAGAGCTCTGAGAGTGGTCCAACCTATGAATAATATCGTCGGTGCAAGCACGTTGTTTTTATCGTTAATATAGACTATGTTTACTTTGTTGCTTTCGTTTATTTCCCACTAAAACTCATCATAAACACTTAATCACAACCTAATTAACAAACCATGGCTTCGGTGGTCCCGTCAGCGAAAACGAATGTCGACACTTTCGAATCACACAACTAAATTTGTATGTGTCCATTTGCGACTGACTTCAATCGTTTGTTTTTCACTAACCAAAAATTAATCGGTAAATTCCACTTAAATCCCCCCTCCCCTTTTCAACTTCCAAGTCAGTTCCTAACTTAATTTTTTTCCACTGCCCTCCCTCTTTACAATCTCCTCTTTCCTATTCACTCCCCATATATATACTAGTATTATTATTTTCATTTAATTTGCTCAAAGATCATAAAAATTTGAAAAAACTCTCTCTCAATTCCCGTCTCTCTCTCTCTCTCTCAATTTCCATCGCCGGAGTCTCTCTCTCACTAGAGATCTGAAAAACAAACGAATACTATCAGATCTGAAAAATAAAAAAAAAAATCGGTGTCCTCAGATGTTAACAACACAAATAACCGTATCTGTCGGATAGCCACCACCATTCGGGTCATACCAGATTTCCCTAAGTTCGTTGATTGATCGAAAATTGTGCACGTATTATATATTTAATAGTGTATTTTTATACACTTAATTTAATCGCACGTGTGTATTTTTCGACCTATTTATTATTTGGATGGATTTATTTGCTATGATATTTTGTGTGTTATTTTCAGTATTTTGGAGCAACTTGTGTACGTGAAGCCTTGGATGAAAGTTTTAGTCCACAATGCAGTAAGAATTAAGGTCCAATTCATGCAGGAGTCACGACAAATGGGCTTACATAATATTAGATATTTTGTCCATGCACTCACCGAAAGAAAAAATAATGGAAAAAAGCACCAACATTACTTGAACAGGAGAAAATTACTTGGAATGAGACTTTGAGTCTTGGACATTATTTTATTATTATTATTTTTCTTTGGGCCGTAATTAGCATAAGAAATTGTTGGAGTGAGACATTATTGACGGGGAGGAGAATTTTATTGGCGTGTAGACTCCACTCACCACACGCATATCATATGAGCGAGATTTATTTGCGAGAACGAGATGGAAGACAGGAGCAGAGGAGAAAAAAAACGCAGAAGCCGAAAAAAGGAACGGAGGACACAGACTGAGAGCCACGAACGGACTGAGAGGAACAAGAACACACGTGGAGGGAAGCCGCACCGTACACGAGGGAGATTATATTTTGATTAATCTAGACGCCGTATTTATTTTTGTCGATGAGTTGATTCATGTTATCTGTGTATCGTGTTTATGAATTATGGTGTTTGATTTGGTTTGGCCAGCTAGGTTGAATATCCATGATTTAATTGCTAGATTTGAGGCTTTAATCCGTAATTTTTATTGTAAACTAGGGGTCGTGCATCTCTAGGGTAGCATGAGCATAAGTTAAATGGTCCGAGCTTTTGCATCCATTGCTTAGACTGATCTATTTTCTTAGAAATTAATGCTGCTAGTGAGTTAAATCTAGAGAGCTTATTCTAGGTTATCCACAAGTTAGGTTTAGTCGAAGAGCTTATTTCGATTAAATATTCGGTAAGGGAAATTCGGTTAACAGAGCTTGTTGTTAGCTAGGGTCGGTAATTCATTAGCAATTTAAAGAAGGCGTTGAAATTAATTAACGGTAGATTTAGATTGGGTGATAACTGAACCGAAAAACTAGATTTCTCTTATTTATTTGATTTTTATTTTATTTATTTTTATTTTTAGTTTTATAAATCAATCCCCCCTTTAATTGCTTTCGTATTGTAATTCAATTAATACAAGATTGTCACAATTTAATTCCTACTCCTCGTGGGATCGACCCTTACTCGCCACTACTACTAGTTAGTAGAGGTTAGTTGAGGAAAACTTTTATAAATTTAAATTTGTCGCGTTGCGACGCGCGGTCAAATTTTGGCGCCGTTGCCGGGGAGTGGTGCGATTGAGTTGTGATTTTTTTATTATTAATTGAATTAGGTAATTTTATTAGTTTTTATTTTATTTTATTTTATTTTTCTTGGACTCTTTTAATCCCCCTATTTTGTATTCTCTTTTGCAGGTGGTAATCGTATAAATGGATGCATATTGGAGCCCGGAATATGCTGACGCTTACGGTTCATATTATGAAATGAAAAGGAGGGAAATAAGAGACCAACATCGTGAGGCTAGGATGTCGGCTATGATCCAAGAAGCCATTGAGAGTGTTCGTCAAGTTCTAAGGAAACCATGTCGTTTATGTCATACCACACGTCACGTCACCGATAATTGTCCACTTTTGATCGAGTGGTATGGTGCACGCAGAGCTACACAAAGAGATTGGTATCAACAAGACGAATGGGCGCACTCAAATTTTGATGGGGACCATTACAGTTGGGGCAATCGTGGAAATTCATTCTATGAAAATACACAATGTTCTCGATCGTATGAGCCTACTTATGAGTATGATGATTCTCAATTCCACTATGGAGGCTCACAATATTCTTCAGAACCTTCGCTTGAACAAGAGACTAGTCCATCGTTGATGAAGTTATTGGAAGAGTGTCA